GGGGGGGGGGGGGGGGGGGGATAGTAAATATCCTTATATTCACTAATGCCTGTTCATAAATGTTACTGCAAGAGGGACATCGGACTCAATAGATATTGAGGGGATGAAGTGTTGGCTTCAAGAAATCAGTAAAGAACACAGCTAACCTTACTGACCCTGTTTAAATCAACAAACACAACCGAAGCACATGCACAAACACACAAACCCACACACACACACACACACACACACACACACACACACACATACAGGGCTGCTCGATACCGAACTATACGTCAACAAAACTGGGGGAGACAAAAAAAAAAACTGTTTTCACCTTGAACTGGTGTGCCTCTCAAGGAACAGCAAGACAAACCACAGGTTTACTTTAACTTCTATACTACTTGCTTTTTAAAGCATTTTATGATCAATTATTTTCAATGCACGCTTTATAGGTACTTCTCTTATACGGTTCGTATCACTGAGATCACCAGTATTTCAACTGTAGGGATCATTAACTCAAAATAAATACACAACTAAATAAATAAGGGTGGGGGGTTGAGGAAACACAAAAAATTGCTTAGGGAAAGGAGGAACACAATGCAAGATGTTAAAATGTCAAAGCAAGTAAGTCATTAATGGTGAACTCAAGCGGACTCCCATTTCATATGAAGCATCTACTAGCATGTCAGTTTTCTCCAAAGCTTAAATATTATAGATTCCCATTGGCTGCACCTTTAACATACAGATTAAATTAAAACCCAGAAACAAAACCAAGCCTTGCAAACTTTCCGACAAGTGCCAGTTTTAGTGCAAGACTTGTTTCGTTAATAATAAAAACAAAAATACATGGATTAAAAAGAAGAGAGAGACCGCAGTAAGATAAGCACAAAGAAATAAAGAGCCGTTCATGATCCCTACAGGGGAAATACCTGCTGCCACACTTCTCCTTATGACTGAGGTTAAGGCTACAGTCTGAACCCTCCCTCCTCCCAGTGAGACAAATGCAATAGAAACTGATGAACAGAATTCAGTCAAAGGGAATCAAAAGGGTAGACCTTGTGGAGGCCTGCCGCCAAAGCCTAGCTGTGTCAAGGTGCACAGGAAGACACACCCCTTTTCTTCCTATTACAAGCAATCAACATAATGGAACAGTAAGATTAATATCAAATATTAACAATTGGAATTAAATTAGAAAAAAAATGAAAAGCCAAAATGTTTAAGTGCTTTAGGTAATGTGCCATTTTAAAAATCTCTAAATAAATTAACGAAGAATTTAGATAAATTTAAGAGGTGGTTACCTTTGTTTTCTTTCTGTTCCTCTAATGACCTCACTTTTGGCAAGTTAGAAATTTGAGTATTTAAGTACTGTTGATAAATCAACTCAAAGATTAGTAATGACTGTCAGTGGGAAGAGCAAATTTACAGGCAAGCAAAAAAAAAAAAAAAAAAAAAAGGAAAACCCACACCAGATACAAAACACTGCGCTCACAATAGTTATTTACTTCAAAAAAAAAAAAAAAAAAAAAGGCAAACTGATTTACCGTTACTTTGAGGAAGTCAAAGCCTGGGGTATATTGCATACCAAGATCAAAACTGCATCCAGTTTGCACATGGGCACCAGACACCCGAACGTCTCTCGGATTCAAGTCACCCATTAATCACAGCTAATAATTCATGTACCATTTGAAATAACTGGAATTGGAAATATTGCTATTAATTAGTGTAAGCCAATTGTCTTTTGACATGAGCAACAGGTATTTACAAGGTCATGAAGTAATTCTAAAGGAGAATCGCCAGAGCAAAGGCGTTTCATTCTAAATGGTGGAGTTTCAAGAGTAAGCTGGAACAGAGCAGGGGCAGTGGAAACAAGGTAACAGAGTGCTTCAGTGTTACCAATCCACATTAATGTCACCAAAGAAACAAAACAAACAAAAAAAAAAGTAGGAAGTGTTTGTGACAAAGGGGAAAACAACAGGGCTCAGCAGACGTATCCAAACTGTGCTGGTTTCATTTCGTCCATGTAAATAAGCTTTTACTGGACTTCCTCAAAGTACAAAGTTAAATCCTTCCATAGTACAAACCCGATGTAGCTTACTTTGGTGTTCATGTTCTGCGAGAACTCCAGAATGGTGTCAACTCTCGTCCATGCATCTGGGTGCTCTTTCAAATGGGTCAACACCTCCTGCGCCATTCTTTGCTACAGGGGAGGAATAAATGCAAATTACAGATTGCTGCTTAGGCAGCAGTCACTTTGTCTTAAAGAAATGGCACCAGTAAAACTAAATCAAATCATTTAAATTTCCCATGCACGGCTCAGTAATTCTTTTAAAGGTAAGATATTTATTGCTAAGTGCCTCTTTAGACTACACTCCGGAAAGCACTTTGGCCAGAGAATCTGAACAAAAGCACCTCCTACAGACTAGTCAAAGGCTTGCAGGTTGTCAGCTGACAGCTATGACTGATGGGCCGTTCATTCAAAGAGAAAGACATTCCATGTATGAAGTGTAATGGAGTACAATTAAAAAACATAATAATAATTACTAAACAGTATACTAGAGAGAAAAATCTAACAGATAATACCTGGTTTGGTTGCAGATAATTGGAAACATTTAAATGGTAGAATGAATACATTGCATCCAAAAAACAAAAGTGTGGTATAAACTGCAAAATACTCATATACCCTAAAATCTATAGATTTATTTAATATCGCCATACCTGGGGCCCTTCTCCATGGTACAGACAATTCACCACGTTGTCCAGCAGGTTAATGTCCAGTTTCTGGCTGAAGTCCAGCAGCTGTCTAGCTGCATGGTCCGCTAACATTGTCATAATTGCTGGCATAGAGATCTGCAGTAGCGGGGGGAGGGGGGGGGGGACAAAAAAGAATATCCGACAGGCAAAGTCACGTGAATTAAATGGTGATCTGCAGACAGCTGAAAAATCAAGTCCCCTCCTCCCCATACATTCTGCAGTATCAAAGAGTCTTAGGTCCATACTTTATGAAACACTCTCAACGTTATTTTGCGCACAACACAAATATAACTGGTCAGTTAAAAATATAAATTGCTGGTATGTTAAACATCAAACTTATGTGGTGCAAAAAACTAAGTTTGTACTCTAAATATCGCTCTAGTACTCATCCTGGAATAACACAGAAGACCAAATCAAAGCAGTAATTGCTTCTTTTTTATGTTTTATTCTAAAGCTAAATATTAGTCAAACACTATAAACAGACAGAGAGCACGATAAGCGGGAATTATATAATAGCAAACCACGTGTGTGGCGCGATCCCATTACACGATTTTCTACGTCATACTGTTTACACCTGACTGTTGTGGAGAAAATGGGACTTAATCGTCGCTGTACGAACGTCCTTAATATACTGACCGAGGAGTATTTAAAAGCCATAAAAAATGACATTGCTTAATATTTCATGGCAGAACGCTCAATGAATAATGTGAGACGGCGGAAAGCCTTATAACCTCCGACGTATTAGCTAGCTAACGTGAATGAACAGGAAATCGCTGACTGCCTTTTTACACCATAACCTGTTGATATTTAATTTATCCAGCCGACCACAGCTTCAAGGCGAGCAGAACGATACAGCTAGCAATGTAACGCTAGTTACGACTGCAAATCGATATAATGTGTCAAAGGGGTTGTGTCAGAACGGTTTATAATCCATTATAGTTTTACAATGCTGCAATACATTACAGCTAGTAGGTCATATTAAGAATAAATGAATTATCAACCCAATTCGTGGAAAAAATGCCTTAAACACGCAACGTTTATGACCGATTCATAGAACATGACACTTTCACCTAGGGGACAATGCATGCCTCGTGCCATGTATATTTTAACTAGTCGCGTTAATACACAATATAGATTAATACAAAAGCTATATCAGAGAACACACGCCACTTAAAAAGGTTCTGTATGACCCAACGTCACAGCTATATTTGTTAGCTGGGTTGTAGTTTCAACTACTACGATAAAAGCAAATTCCCCTCGTTATAAATCATTCTTGGTCTCTTCGAGTTCATCGCTAACGATCCGCGAAACACGAGACGTATTCAAATTAGCTAACTGTGCAATTATTAGCCATCTGATTGTGTACCTGAACTTGAGATAGCCGACTAATGCCCCCACCTAAACGATGATAAATTACTTTCACTATTCAGTTTCCATTGCAATGAGCTAAACTGACTATGGAATTGAACTGATTACCAGCTTCATAATCGTACGACAAACATCTTTATAAATTTACCTTATAATAGCCCCTCCATCCAGAAAACCGCTCTCCCGGGAAGAATAACCCCTCCCACATAGCTAGCTGCTAGCGTGCTAGCCATCACAACGAGGGCACAAGCACGTTAGCTTCCTGCGCTCAACTCTTCCTGATTTTACTGGCAAAAATGACTATCCGAGGCGCCACCACTGAATTTGTTTCTTAAGTTAAACCACCCCGAGGCTCACTTGCCGTTCGAAAGAGCGACACGGCTAGCTGGCCGATTTACTATCTAAATGATTTTGCAGCGCGCCTAATGCTACTACAGTTTGCGTTAAGCTCACGCCACGGGCGCTGTTATTAGTGGGAGGCATGACTTCATTCAATCCCGGATCGGGCCTTCACTTTCAATATCGCTCCAGACACCCATGCATGACATGAGCTCTCGTGTCAAACGGCACCATCCTCTCAACTGCGAAAAATCTATAACTGCCTATGAGCGGTTTACTTACCTACGTTTAATCACTCTTCCCCTCCTTTCGTTTTAATTCCAGCAACAGTTAATTAGAATACAATAATTTCTTTTTTTATATAGAATTCTGCAAATATGAAGGCGAGTAAAATGTTTTGTGACTGGTACACAGTCAATAATTACCTGCCAAAAATTCCAACCCTTTGAATGAAAGAAGTGAGGCGTTTGCCAGAGCCTAGATTGAATTCAGTACCGTTGCTGCTAGTTGAGAATTTTCTGTGGCTAACGTTAGCCCTGTTCCAATAGAATGAGTATTGTTAGCTGCTAGTGGAAAAGGACCACTGATATGGGTTCTCCAACAATAATCACGGCACGCTATGTAATTTGTTAATCCGATTCATTTTACGAAATTAGATAGTCCATTGATTTACAATTTAGTTCTTTACTGAAATATTTTATGCAGCGGGGCGGCTTAAGAGAATGCAAGCCTGTGCTTCTTCTCCTCTCAAGCAACAAACTCATAACCGGTTGAAACCGGTTCAGACTGGGAGATTCCATCTCGGTTTAGTTTTCAGCCGATGGCGCCGCGGAAAGTTTGGACAAACGTCACGCCCATCGTCGGCTACGATTGGCCCGAGTCCAATTACCAACCACCTAGGTGCCATTCTACAGGACAGACCACTTGTCAATCAATTTCAATTCTTGCAGGCGCACACGCGACCGCTCCGCCCTTGGACGGAAAAAGAAGGCGGGATCAAAGTGAAACGAAGCCCTCGTTTCAACTATTCTGAATGGTACACAGTGCTGTCAATTTGTTGTTACCTAAATCCGCGTGTTAGTTACAATGAATCTGCAAGTTGCCAAGTGTCGTTTCTATTGGCTTAAAATACATGATTGACATTTTGAAATTTAGGTTTCGCGATGCAAAATATAACGTGTAAAGAAAAACCCAAGTTAATGTTAATAGATAGCGATATTATAAATAAAACGCAATCACACAACGTGTCTCATGTATCGCATTTGTCTGTGCTGTCCTAAGAACGCAGCTTATGCGAAAATAAAACCGCGCTCTTTAGTTCGTGGCGCTTCTAACCTGGTAATTTTCCACTTGCCGCGAAGGGGAGTGGTTGTATAGTAACGGGGTATGATAGGCGCATGGCACGAAGCAATAGCACACAAAGAAAACAGTCTCTTTCATATAACATGCGAAAGAAAATCAGCGTGCATTTGAAAACACTCGGAAAGTGAAAAGTACACAAATATTTTAAAGCGATAATTCGAAATATTGCAGGTTAAGTGCCCCTGTATTGGGCAAGGAACTGCGTGTGTTTTTTTTTCTCGGTGGTCATGTGACTCAGCGCAACTTGATGGAAAAATACTGGACTGAAGAGACTAGCCACTGTAAATCAGTAGCCTATTCTTATTGTGAATATAGTACATTTTCAGTTTATCTTGCAACTTTGTTATATCCTTTAGATATTATACATATTCATTGTTAAATACTATCCCAGTATAGTTTGTGCCATGTTGCTTTCCTAATTAAGTAGCTGTCTACCAATACCTGCATTTGAATGTAATCTCCAAAAATAAGTCAGTATATTTCTTTTAAAACATCATATTGGTCAATAACCTATAGGTAACCATTAACCACTGACATTTTGCCTGAATACTGGCAATAACAAAATGCTATACTCTTTTTGCAAAATACCTGCATTACAAACATACAAACTAGTTATATGGTATAAAGTCATTAGAGAATAAGGTATACAGAATTAGTTCAACTAATTAAAATTTTAAGATCTTTTAGGTCTAACTGACTATATAACTTGGTAAAAGGGCAACATGTAAATTAAATCAATCACATGTTTATATGTTTTGTGGCTTGTTTCTATGGTGTTGTATTGATCGAGTTCCCCTCAACACTGAACTGTGGATTATACTTTCAACAGACTTACAACATGAAAAACTGCACTTTATCCCAGAAACACTGAAGGAATGCCGTTCTACTAGTTATACACAAGCACTTCGGTATTGTTTTTGTATTCCTCTTAGGAATATTTCGTATCGCTGTAGTTCATAAACACATTGTGTTCATTAACCTATTTCTATAGGCTACTCATTTTATTGACTTTTATATCACTTTAAACAGAAACAATTGAAAATGACAAAGCCTCTTACAAACCAAAGCAAGATTATTTTTCAGTAATCTAAAACAGAATTAAATTTAATGTGTTATAATTGTTCATTTATGATATAGCTTCGCCATTCATTCCACGTGTACATTTATCGCATTGCTGAAGGCTAGACAATAGCTATACAATAATAAATTACATATGTGAGATTTCCACCACACCCTATTGAGAATGCTGCCAATAGCCGATATAATCACTGCCCATCGTCACTGAAAAAGTATGTACCTGAGTTTCATGGATATAGCTATCGATTGTAGCCATCTAAGTTATCATATCCTCGTTGTCTAACTCTTCCATCCAGAAAAACAAATATTTTTTTTTCCCCAAAAACTCAGGGCAGTGTCATCCTAGTGGAGTCAAAGTCTGCTGTCTGAGCTCGAAAGTTATAACCAACGAATAAGACGTTTTCTTGGGCAGTAACATTTTTCTGTGCTTTTGTTTGCTAATTGCCGCTTGTGATGTTCTAGAACCTAGAATAAGACGTGAAAGCTGCACTATCAGCTTGTATTGTGTGATGAACTGATGATAAAGAGGCAGTCGGAGGGAGCGCGAGAGTGTAGCTGGACCTCGTGGCCGATAAAGCGCGTTCAGCAGCAGACGGGGAATTGCTGTGGTGCAGCAGGACAGGACAGTGCTGTCACAACGCGAATGGAAACGTAAGCATGCTGAGTGCAAATAGTTACTACTTTGTATTTTTTAAAAAGTCAAACGCTCGCTTCATCATTTGCATCTCCAAAGAACCAGGACTGGCAGTGAAATCTTCCCTCTGTTTTATGAGGTTTGCCCCTCCGTATGCACTGCTTTCCATTACAACTTTGGGATGTGTAATTCTTCGGGTACGGTACACAAAAAACTAATTAAACTTAATCTTATGCAGTCATTACCATTATATATAGGTCAGGACAGTTATTCACCCACAGTTTGTCTTTATTGCTTTGAAGACCCTTGAGTTTTACAGACATTTACAACCCTTTATACACTTCGGTAAACATTTATTCCACAAATAAGCTTTCAGCGTGTTTGAGATGTAAAACGTGACCCCACTGATTCCAGACATTCTAGAAAAACAGGGATCCGCTGCTAAAATTACGCATCAGTTCACCAAAGAGAGCCCTCTGGCCAGCGTGTCAGTCTTTTCTTTTAAAAGGCTTGCAGATTCTTTGCCACACACACACACACACACACACGTGTGACAACAGAGGTACGTTGTTCAGGATCGGACTGGTCGAATCCCGTTTCATCTGGTCCCGGCTGCCTATTTACATATATTATCGTTACATCAGAGGCTGCACTCACTCACCCAGCGCCTCGTTTTGCTACTTTAGCATTTTTATTCTCAGCGAGGAACTTTGAGTAGTGTCTTTACCTATGCACTAAGTATATCAACAGAAACGACATACAAAGAGGTGTTAAATAATGCTTATCGAAGGGGAAAAGATAAATAACCAGTACCACGAGTTGCAATTTAAAATAGGCTGTACATGCTTTTAGCAGCTATATTTAAAATCTCTGGTAATAAAGATTAAGATGTATGACGTCGATCCGTATCTAGGAAATGTTCTGTTTCGAAAATACCAGCCAATGTTGGGTAAACGGTCAGAAGTAGAACAAATGTGTTTTTTTTAATAATATTGATTATCTCTTGGTAGGTTGATGTTCATTCTTAACCAGATGGCTCAGTATGCCATGTGTAAACGAATTCATCGCTGACCGACGTTACGTAACAGCTGTAGTAACTGGACTTTTAAAAAACATGTAAAGAACTTGCGCCATCTAGTGATTGAAAGCGCACTGGTTCTTATGGCATCCTGCTAACGGAGATCGACTGTGGGAAGTTTATATACACACACACACACACACACACAAATACGACGTGTAAAAGTAATTCAAATTTAATAGAAGTCAAAATAAATTATTTTGAAATTAGTCCTACTACAATAGGTACTCTATATGGACAAAAGTTATAACAGCTGCCACTCTTCTGGGAGGGCTTTCCACAAAATTTTGGCGTGTGTCTGTGGGAATTATTCCCCATTCACCAAGAAGGGCATTTGTGAGGTCAGGCACTGATGTTGAACGTGAAGGCCTGACTCATAATCAGAGGAGGTTCTAGACCATTTCAACTGAGGGGCCAGACTGGGGTCAGTTGTTCTGTTAGGGGGGGCAGATACATTTGACCTTAATGTCCTTTAAGTTTGGGGTTAAGGGTCAGAGCTCTGTGGGCCAGTCAAGTTCCTTCACACTAAACTCACCAAACCATGTCTTTATGGACATTGCTTGTGCACTGGGGCACAGTCATGCTGGAACAGAAAAGGGCCTTCCAAAAACTGTTCCCACAAAACTGGATGCATAGAAATGTCCAAAATGTCTTGGTATGCTGAAGCGTTAAGAGTTGCCTTCACTGGAACTAAGGGGTCTAGCTAAACCCCTGAAAAACAGCCCCATACCATTATCCTCCAAACTTTACAGCTGGGGCAATGCAGTCAGGCAGGTACCGTTCTCCTAGCATCCACCAAACCCAGACAAGACCATCAGACTGCCAGACAGAGAAGCGTGATTAGTCACTCCACAGAACTTGTGTCCACTGTTCTAGGGTCCAGTGGCAGCGTGCTTCACGCCACTCCATCAGACACTTGGCATCACACTTGGTGATGTGAG